GTCAACTAATCCCTCAGTAATTAGTGACAAAGGAGTAATTTACAGAGCTTACTTTTGTAACAGAAAAGAGAAATTAAAAAAATTAGGAAACTTGTTTTTGAATATAATTTAATTGGACAAGACAAGTCATCTGACTAGCTTGCTTCTCTCAGGCTTTCTTAACCCAAATTCGTACTGTTGGCAACATCTAGCTGTCAAAATGAGATTTACCCCAGAACTACTTGCCCTACAGGTAAAGTTGCCTTTTGTAACCAGGAAGCTCACTTCAAAGGGGAGCAACTTATGGTGTGTGTTAGCAGTGTCATCCCCATCTTCCAGCTGCCCAGATTGCATTACTCAACTTAGATTTCACCTCTAGCTCAAGAAAAAGAGGGAGCTCTCCATTAAGACTGGAAAGAGGAACTTAACTTTTTAGTCAGCACTGCGTGCCCCCTGACCCCGACCCTGACCCCTTTCCCCTACCCCGGCCTAAACTTTACCTTTAAAAAGAGTCTTGTGATCCTATGATTACTTTATTCCTACAATGATATATGTATAGCCTTACTCGAAATTATCTGATACTTTATAAGTCATTTTGTCTATTATAAATACCCAAATTAACTATAAAGTTGCTGTTTGTCCTTTGTTCTCAAAGAGGACCATGACACCAGGGAGATGGTGCCATGACATGCAAGTGAATTGAATTTAAGTGAGGGAGGGCTGTGTAAAGTCCCTAGCCTCACTTTTCTCCTCTGGAACCATTTGGGGCCAGTGGTGAGATATAAATAAGGGCAACTGGAGATGGCCCTGGATGCAGTGGAAACCTTGGCCTTTTTAAAAAGGACATATGAAGGAAGACACTATCTGCATCCAGAGAAAGAATGGATAAATGGAAGTATATGTATAGAATAATTTTGCATATATATACATACACATATATACACATACATATTATACACATGTGTGTGTATATACACACACACACATACACACACTCACACACCTGTGTCTAATGGTAGCCATCTCTAGGGCGAAGGGAGGTAGGGAGAAGGGAAGGGAAAAAATTTACATGGTAATTTTGGTGTATATTTGAAAGGAATGGCAAGTTGTGTGCATAGTAGATTTTCAGATTCATGTAAATTGTCTTTTTATTGTACTATGTTATAAAAATGCTTGTTTTATTCCATAAATTATAAATAAAATAAAATGAATTATCTGCTACTAAATGGTAAAATCAATCTATCTATTCACTAAACCTATAGGTAATTTAGACTTAAGAGAATATCTATGTTAAGTAGTCTGGTTTAGCTATTAGGGGCTAGCTTTTCCTAAAGAAGGGAGCTTAATCCTATAATCAAACCAAAAATAAATCAAAGTAATCAATACTGATTTAAAGGATATTCTTTTTCAGGAGTCCTTTTTTTCTTTTTCCAAATATGCCTCTATAAACTGTTATCTTATGGCCTGGCTTCCATGGTTCTCCCTTTAAGCTCAAAAATTCTATGATTGGTACATAGTCCAGATAATAAACTCATTTCAAAAGTTATAAAAAATAAGGATATGGAGTTGCTTAAGTTCCTTGTCCAAATGGACACTACTCACTTATTTTCATAAGCGAAACCATATTTTTCCATTTTTACCCTTCCTTCATGTTCTTTACACTTGTAACACCAATCTCCTCCTTCTCGTGTTTCTCTTCCTCTTCTTTCCATAATGTTTTTGTTCTCTGGTAGACTCTTCTCTTACTTGCCCTAAGTGATTGGCACCTGGTTCTTTAGCTCCTTTCATAGAGCTTCCTTAGTGATTTTTCATTGGCATCTCTCTTTTGGGATCTGCTTTGCCCTTTCAAGTCCTTTAGACCCTTCCTTACATTTTTCATAGACCTTATGCCACCTTAACCAGTTACAAAATTTATGTTTTGCTATATTTCTATATTTCTTTTTTTTCTTTGCTTTTTGGTGAGGCAATTGGGCTTAAGTGACTTGCCCCAGGTGATATAGCTAAGAATCAAGTGCCTGAGGCCAGATTTGAACTCAGGTCCTTCTGACTCCAGGGCCAGTGCTCTATCTATCGGTTGTGTCACCTAGCTGCTCCCTTTATTTGCTGTATTTCTAAAGTATATTTTCAGAATGTTGGTGGCTCTAGTCATGTGTTATGATTTTGGTCAATTTTCAGAACTCATTGTTTGTTTTCTTGGGGCCGTTTTTAGGGAGAATGTATTCTATGGAAACTTGACCCCCAAATCCACCCTACCCTTCCTACTCCTCTTTCCTTTCAGTCTGTTAATCTCTGTGTTGAGAGATGGTCTCTCAGAAGTGAAGCCTCTTCAAAGGGTCAATAGTTCTTGTTAATAGTCCTTGCATTGTTTTCAAAACCCTCCCCCTGCTCAGACCCTGTTTTTAAGCACATAGCAAAAATAATTGCCCTACCCCCAACCTGAACTGCTTGCCCTTGCAAAACTTTCTGCCTCTCTGGGCAAACTTATGTAACTGCCTTTGTCCTGTTGCTGGAGTAGAAAGCCATGAATAGATTGTGTGTCCTGAAGCCCAGCCAGTGGGATAAGGGGAAGGGGATTAGGGAGGAGGAGCTCGAATTAGGGTATAAATAAGGCTTGCTTTCTGTAACCAACTCATACTCTCCTGGCTGTCCCACAAGGCCACAAGGGGCAGTATCCTTTCTCATGAGAAAGCAATAAACTCTGTTTTGCCTTTCTTAAGAAAACTCTCTGATTAATCATTACAAGGGGGTCACAAATACCCCACACATCTGGTTTTCTTCCCTCCTCCCCATGTGGCTTGCCTTTAGCCTCTTTTGTGACATAACGTAATATGGGTTGGGTCTGAAGTTTTGTCCCTTTTTAAAGGAAATTCTATAAGTACTATATGAATATATTAAGTATTATATATATATATGTATATATACGTATATATATATGTATATATATGTATATATATATATCAGTACTATAATTATAATATACTATAAGTAATTATGTTTGTGTGTGTATGTATATATATGTATGTGTGTATATATTTTATATAATCTCTCTATTTCTCTTCTCTCTCTCTCTCTTCTCTCTGCCACAGTGGATAGAGTGCCAGGTCTGGAGTTAGACTCATTCTGAATTCAAATCTAGCCTCAGGCACTTATAAGCTGTGTGACCCTGGACAGTTCACTTAATCCTGTTTGCCTCAGTTTCCTCATCTATAAAGTGAACTATCTGGAAATGGCAAACCATTCCAGTATCTTTACCAAGAAAACCCCAAATGGGGTCACAAAGAATTGGACCAAACTGAAATGGCTGAACAACAATATTGTGTTTTACACACACACACACACACACACACACACACACAGAGTTTATACAAGTCAGTAATGTCTTGAGTTTTTTTCCACTTAGGGACTAAAACAGGAATTTTAATTTTATAACAAAATGAATACGATGTGAATTTTTTAAAAAAAAAAAGATCATGTAATTCTGTACTAATAACCTTGGAGGGAAATTACTGAGTTAACACATGTGAGATCTAACCAAAAACTATACCCTAATTGATTGTATTAATCAAATTCTGTGTAAATGTTAGTGTTGTATTTTTAAAAATTCTTAGTATTTTCATCAAAGTCTAACTTCAACACTCAACTCTGAGAGGATGACCTTTCCCCTTGAGTTCTAGAATACTAAATATGTGAATAAAATTGCAAGCTTTTGCTTAGTCTTACAACTAGAAAGACCGCAATAGATATGGGCTATAATCATTTAAGCTAGTTTTGGGGAGGGCTCATCACCAGTTACTAGGAGAGTTAAGTGCTGTTTAGTGCTACTTAAAATTTTTTTGACCACAGTAACTTTCGAAATTTGTTGTAAAGTCTGCATTGGTAAAGGGAACACTTATGGGGAAGTAATACAACAGAATTGCTACTATTAAAAAAAATTTATTAAGTTCTCCTGTAAGGAGTTAAAATACATAAAAATACCATATATATATATATATACACACACATGTACACACACACATATATACACATATATGTATATGTATGTGTATATATATATATATGTATGTAGTATATGAACTGATATCATTGGGGAAGGCAGCCCTAGGGAAATAGGGCCTGAATACACAAGTAGCTACTATATTATGAAAAATATGCCAAAGAAGTGCTACAGATGTGCCATTTCCTATGAGATAATTCTGGTAATTTTAGTAACTTTTTCCAGAATGATTGGTCCTTTTGGCTAGTTCATGTGGAAAGAGAACAGGGACTCTTCTGAGGTCTTTGCAAGGTCTCAGGTTGGGGGAAGGGATGGAGAAGAGGTCTTAATCCATCATTCTCTCACATTCATTTTTTTTTTTTTGGCTAGGCAATGAATGGGGTTAAGTGACTTGCCCAGGGTCATACAGCCAGTACGTGTTGTGTGTCTGATGCCGGATTTGAACTCAGGTCCTCCTGAATCCAGGGCTGGTGCTCTATCCACTGCACCACCTAGCTGCCCCTCTCACATCCATTTCATCTTCTATTCCCACTACTACCAGTCATCCACCCCAAGAACCCCTTGCCTGACTTAACTTTTCTGAAACATCTGCAAAATAGCTGCAACTATATGACTAGGAGATATGTTTTCATACTGAAGTCCTTTCCGTTTTGTTTTGTTTTTGTTTTTGTTTTTTGCTTTTTGATGAGGCAATCAAGGTTAAGTGACTTGCCCAGGGTCACACAGCTACTCAAGTGTCTGAATTTGAACTCGGGTCCTTCTGATTCTGAGGCCAAAGCTCTACTGGCATCTCCACTGCGCCACCTAGCCATCCCTATGCCCTTTTCATTTTTAAAGATGTTATTGACTTCCAGAGACCACGCAACAAGATTTACATTTTCCAAACTTTTATTGAGACAGGTCCTGGCTTTGCTCCATTGTTGAAGTAGGGACCCTGAATCTAAGATACCACAGTGCTCTTTCTTCTGGGATTGTTTTAAAAGGCAATGTCTCCGTTATGCCTGGATGATGGGAAATTGATGGCTGATTTATTACTAGCTCCCACAGATAAGAAAAGGAATTCATCGGAGTCTTATCTTGGTTTCCTAAGGTAGCGTGTAGTGCGTGTTACAACACCTGTTGCTGCTACTGAAAAAAAAAAAAACAAAAATAAGCCCCCTTGCAAATTGGCATCTTTATTATTATCATTGCAAAGTGCAAAGTGAAAGAAATTAATTATTCCATATAAAATAAGAGTGAATGGGCAAAAATAATTCTTTCAAGCTTAGAAATCACAAAGTACTTCATTCACCTTCCCCTCTTCATTCATTTCCCCCCTATAACTGCTGTTAATTTTAGCTAGATTTCACTTGAAAACAAAAAATGTCAGTCTCATTAAAGTTGTGACTTGCTCTGGGCCCCAGTTCCCTTATAGATGCCTCCTGTTTTTTCTTTATTCAAGGCTAGAAATGTGCATAAATAAAGAGAAGACCAATGGACAATGAAACTCTGTGGCCTGGAATTCTTCCAAAGAAGACATAGAGAGGCATTGGAATAAATCTCTTAAGTAACAAAAATGGCTACAGGGATATATGGAAAAAGAGTGAGTTTACCTTTTCTCTTCCTTCTCCCTCTCCTTCTCCTCCTTCTCCTCCTTCTTCTCCTAACCGGACGCTGCATTGGGGAATTACTACTTCTATGTCTTGCCATTTTTATTTTCTGAACTGTTTTGATTCCAGAGGGAAAGGCTTCATTGCCCCTAGGAGGAGCAAAGGCAACCTGTCTACCTGGATGGTGTTTTTCCAAGGTTGAGTTTGACCCCCAAGCTGGTCCATATTTAAAGAGTATGGTCACTATGACCTCACAGAGGGACCACACCTTATACTTTACTGTGTCAGCCTACTTTCATTTAAAAAAAATGACAACTATTACCATATATGACTATGAAAATATAACCATTTACAGTAGCTCCTATATTTTTATTTTGCATTGATGACAGTTTTTAATATCTATAAATTTCATATAAATCCATTGTAAGGCAAAAAACAAACAAACAAACAAAAACCTCAGACAAACATTGGCCAACAGGTAACCATTTTGATTAAGGTAAGCCCAAGAACCAAAACCTTGTCTCTCTAAATATATTTCCTCAATATCTACCCTAGCCATTCACCCCAAATGGGGCAAAAATCATTCCAGAGGTTGGATGAAGCCCTGAAATTGTTCCCAAAATATTTTTTGGTCCCTTTCCAGGGTGGTATCAATATATTCTCTTAAATGTTACTGGTATGCTACTCATTGGTAGATAAGATGCATAGCCCATGAATTTTGTTTTGGAACTAGTAAATGATGACCATGTTACCAGACTTTCTCAGTCCTCAATATTTTGCACACACTAATTTGAGTACTGTCCGCTGCTTGAGACCAGGACTCTGTAGTCCCCTCCACTTAATCTTTCTTCTTTACATATTAAGAAGGGTATTCTCATAAAATCCAATAATCACTAGCTGTTTAATTTGCTTGTAATCTAGGTATAACGAGTGATCTCAGAGTATATTAACAACCTGTATTGCCAAATTTCAAAATTAGATAGTTTTCTCAAGCTTGTATGGTCAGTAAAAAAAGTGGAGATGGGGCAGCTAGGTGGTACAGTGGATAGAGCACCAGCCCTGGAGTCAGGAGGCCCTGAGTTCAAATCTGGCCTCAGATACGTAACATTCATTAGCTGTGTGACTCTGGGCAAGTCACTTAATCCCAATTGCCTCACCAAAAAGAAAAAAAAAGTAAGGAAAAAAAAGTAGAGATGTCTGTTAATTTGTACATGCATCATATAGTCTTTATAAAAATGTAACACAGTGAGGGAAGGGGTTACTGTGTCCTATTATTTTTGTATCTTGTGTTTGCCCCAGCATCTAAGTACAGTGCTTGGCACACAGTATAGACTTTAGCTTTGATAAAAAGTGTGGGAGTTTTAAACTTTTTTTACGTTTTGTGGATCTCTTTAGCAGCTTGGAGAAGCCCATGGGCTCCTCAGAATAGTATTTTAAAGGAATCAAAGGAAATACTAAATTGCAGTTAGAGGTTTCTACTTTCAGAAAACAAAGACACAATTTTTTCCCCCATCCAAGTTCATAGACCAGCCCCTCCCACCCTCTGAAACTAATCTATTTTGCTCTAGTTAAGAATCCCTAGTATGGTATAAAGCACTGGGCTTTGAATCAGGATACCTAAGTTCAAATCCCATCTCAGACACATAATATAATCTAGATAAGTGACTTAAGTTAACTTCTAAAAACCTCTATTTCCTCATCTATAAAAGAGGGATAAAGGGCCTATACAAAATATATGGCTCAAAGGGCTGTTGTCAGGATCCAGGAGATGTATGTATGGAAACATGTTTCACAAACCTCTAGGAGGGATTTACAAAACTGTCTTGGATTTATGCCATCTAAGGTTGTCTACCTTAGGGTCAAGAGACTGGATTCTAGTCCTGCCTTGGGTACTTACTAGCAGTATGCTCAAGGGGAAGTCACAACCTCTCAGTGCCCCAGGCAGCTCTGTAACACTACATAAGTGTTAGATGAGTTCTTAATCTGCATGGGTGAAGAATTTTCCATGATGGAAGATTTCATACACAGATGAAAACACAAATCCTAACAAAAAATTAAAACAAAACAGCAAACTATCAACTAGGGTCCTCTCATTGCTGAGTTTTGTTGTTGTTCAGTCATATTTCAGTCATGTCAGACTCTCTTCGACCCCATTTGGGGTTTTATTGGTAAAGATCTTGGAGTGGTTTGCCAAGAGGAAACTAAAGCAAACAGGGTTAAGTAACTTGCCCAGAGTCACACAATTAGTAAGTGTCTGAGGCCAGATTTGAACTCAGGAAGATGATTCTTCCAAATTCCAGGCTGGATAGTCTATCCACTGCACCACCTAGCTGCCCCTCATTGCTGAATAGCAATCCTTTTATTTCTCACTATTCCCCATGAAGACTGTCCTAAACTTCCTGTCTCTTTGAGAGACTTTGTTCTCATCTCTGTCTTTCACGGCAGATAATATTATGCTTTCTGTTTTGCTAAAATTGGAGTTACTTCCCCCCCTTAATACCTCAAAATATCCCCTTATCTTCTCATTTTTTTCTATAGTTTTCAAGAATTCTGTGGTCCTTCCTTTTTGTCAAGGATACCTCTCATTCTGTCTTATTCTTTAGGACACTGGTCTACCAACCAAGGAAATTGTATGATTGAAACAATAGCCTTGAAATAAGGCAGTAGTTTAGAATGTAGGACTGATTGGGCAGGCAATAATAATTGACTACAAGCAAAGGAGGAGTCTAAGTGATATGATGTAATGACTAGAATTTGGATGAGAGATGAGAGGAATGTGAAAAGTATTGACAGAAAATATATGATAAAGAGTGGAAAGTGGCCCAGGATGTCACACTCTCACCCGCGTGGTGCTTGGCTTTGAGTTTCCTTGGCCCTCTGCCTCTAGATGTACCATTTTATCCCTGTCTAGTCTGCATTCCAAGACCAACCTGCTAGAGAACTGGAATCCCTTTTCTCTCCCTTCCCCCCCTTCCCTTGGGCAGACAGGACTACATGGACTGCCTGAGCTCTTCTCCACTATAATTTGTACATACACAAATTATATATAACATAATAACATCTCTATTGTATCTTGTATATTTATATAAATATATGATTTTTAAATTTTATATAAATATACAATATAAATTGTACCTCCCTAATATGCATTATATAAATACATTAATACATTATATAAAATCCTTCTGTTTATCCATCTATTTATCTATCTATTTAACCTTTGACTCTCAGCTAGAAAATCTTATAAATTAAAACTTCATGGCTGTTCCACGAATGACACTCCATCTCTTGGCTCCTGGCCTTTATCTTCTTACACTTACACATGTACACATGTGCAATGTGTGTGCATACATGTGTAGAACTACATGTACATATAAAAACATGCATGTGCACATATAGCCATACACGCATGTGTATGTATTCCCCAAGATTCCAGCTTTCTGTGTCTCTGCTCTCCTCCTCTCTTAATACCTCCATTTAACTCCCATTTACCACTCTGAATTTTCCAGATCTGGCTGAGGACTCTGGAGCTATACGAAAGAGAATCTTATTGATCTCATACTTCGCAAAATTTCCCAAAGTGAGGTTTAAAACAACAACAACAAATGTAGTTTCTATTTTTTCCCCAGGAAAAATGACTGAGCAGAAAAATAGCTATTGAAAACTACCAGTGTGTTTAGTAAGGGCTGGCTCCCAGTGTCACTGGTCACATGGCTTTGTTCCCCATTGTTCTACTCCAAACAGCCTCAGAGACAGTCCTCTGTGGGGTGGGTTTTATTTGTTTGATTTTTGGTGAGAGAGCCAAGGGAAGTGAATAGAGAGCAGTTCTCACCTAGTAGTAGTATGATAATGAGAGAAGCTGGAAAAGGTCAGCAATGCCCACTTTCCAAGACTGAGAGGCAGAGGAAAGGAAGCACATTTTCTGAAGAAAATAAGATCCCTAAAGCCTTCTGTCTTGTAGTAGCTGAACAGGACAAACAGCAACTTTTGTGAGCAGTGAAGGAGCTGCCTGCTAGGGACCAAACTTCCAGTTGGGCAACATTTTCTTTTAAATTTTTTAATTAATTTATTTTGATTTATCAACGACCACTTTCATAAGCTTTTGAGTTTTGAATTTTTCTAATGCAATCTGATATAGGCTACACATATACATTCCTATTAAACATATTTTCACATTAGTGATGTGAGGAAGAATTAGAACCAATAGGAGGAACCACCAGAAAGAGGAAACAAAACAAAATAGTAGGGGAAAAAATAGCAAATAGTATGCTTCGATCTCCATAGATCTTTCTTTGGATATGGATAGCATTTTCCATCATGAGAACTTTGGAGATGTCTTAGATCCTTGCATTGCTGAGAAGGGCTAAGTCTATCAATGTTAGTCATTATACAATGTGGCTGTTACTGGGTACAATGTTCTCTTGGTTCTGCTCACTTCATTCAGCATCAGTCCAAACAAATTTTTCCAGGTTTTTCTAAAGTCTGCCTGCTCATCATTTCTTATAGCACAATAGTATTCCATTACATTCATATACCACAACTTGTTCAGCCATTCCCCAGTTGAAGGGCATCCCCTCAATTTCCAATTCTTTGCCACGACAAAAAGAGCTGCTATAAATATTTTTGTATATGTGGGTCCTTTTCCTGTTTGTATGATCTCTTTAGGATATAGCCCTAGAAGTGCTATTGCTGGGTCAAAGGGTATGCACATTTTTATAGCCCTTTGGGCATAGTTCCAAATTGTTCTCCAAAATGGTTGGATCATTTCACAACTCCATCAACAATACATTAGTGTTCCAATTTTCCCACCTCTTCTCCAACACTTACCATTTACCTGTTTTGTCATGTTGGCCAATCTGATAGGTGTGATGTGGTACCTCAGAGTTGTTTTGATTTGCATTTCTCTAGTCAATAGTGATTTAGAACATTTTTTCACATGACTATAGGTGGCTTTAATTTCTTCATCTGAGAACTACCTGTTCATATCCTTCGACCATTTCTCAATTGGAAAATGACTTGTATTCTTATAAATTTGACTTAATTCTCTATATGTTTTAGAAATGAGGCCCTTATCAGACACACTGATTGTAAAAATTCTTTCCCTGCTAATCTTGGTTGCATTGGCTTTGTGCAAAAACTTTTCAATTTAATGTAATCAAAATTATCCATTTTGCATTTCATAATGGTCTCTATCTCCTGTTTGGTCATGAATTCTTC